AGTTAATTTGTTTGTCCCACAAAATGTTTCAATCAACGTTATACATGTTCAGTGACCTGGAGCCCTGAGGCAAAGTTTTGCCCCTGATACAGGACACAGATATATTGTTTAAAGTCCAAGTTTGGAAAATTAAAGCCACTGAAATATGAAAGCTGTGGCTCATCATGGAGCATTATGAGCAACTGGAGTCAAGTTCTGATGGGCAGAAGAGTTTGGTGAGGAGACTTCCGGTGGGTGGAGGGGCTCTGTTTGGGCTCCGTATTCCAAGGCTTGCTTGATAGCTTTATATCACACTGGGGTTCAGTCCCCATATTCTCCCTTGTCCTTGCCCTTTTCAGCTCTACTCTCCAGGAGGAATCTACTGTTAGTCAATTGCCCTTGAGAACGCAAAGTCACTGTGCCCCCTGATCTCTCCTGAAGGAGAAAAATGATTTCAGGACCCAGTCACCAGGTGGGCTCTGGCTGCTGAGATAATGCTGTGCAGCCAGACACATTCCTCTGTTGGGGTGGAGGTTCTTGCTGACTAGCGGTAAGAAGTATTCTGACATGGGGGAAGAAGCCCGGGAACGGAACAGGACACCTGGTTTCCAGTTCCAAACCTGCCACTTACCTTGAGTCCTTGGGTCTATTTTTTTTTTCTTAAATAGTTTATTGTCAAGTTGGTTTCCATATAACACCCAGTGCTCATCCCAGCAAGTGCCCTCCTCCATGCCCATCAGCCATCTTCCCCTCTCCCCCACCCCCATCAGCCCACAGTTTGTTCTCAGCATTCAAGAGTCTCTCATGGTTTGCCTTCCTCCCTCTCCCCAACTATTTTTTCCCCTTCTCCCCCATGATCCTCCGTTAAGTTCCTCCTAATCCACGTATACGTCCTTGGGTCTATTACTTGTTTGTTTGAGTTCACTCTTCCCCTATGAGGATAATATGAAATAGAGAATGTGAAAGGGTATTGAAAGCCTTATTTTTTTAAAAAATAGTTTATTGTCAAGTTGGTTTCCATATAACACCCAGTGCTCATCCTCACAAGTGCCCCCCTCTGTGCCCATCTCCCCCCTCCCCCCCACCCATCAGCCCTCAGTCTGTTCTCAGCATTCAAGAGTCTCTCATGGTTTGCCTCCCTCCCTCTCCCCCACTATTTTCCCCCTCCTTCTTCCCACAGTCCTCCGTTAAGTTCCTCCTAATCCTCCTGTACGTGCAAACATTTGGTATCTGTCCTTCTCTGCCTGACTTATTTCGCTCAGCATAACAACAGCATAACACCCTCAAGGTCCATCCATGTTGCTACACATGGCCAGATGTCATTGTTTCTCATTGCCATGTAGTATTCCATGGTATAGATAAACCACATCTTCTTGATCTATTTGTCTGTTGATGGACACTTAGGCTCTTTCCATGTTTTGGGAAAGCCTTATTTTTTAAAATCTTTCTTTCTTTAAAATGATTTTTTAAAGATAATTCTTTCAGTTGCATCAGCTACTCCAATCATTCATTTGCACGCAGCAAGTGGTGACTTAGACAAGGCATATCCTGTCCTTCCCAGTTTAAGTCCATACTGGAATTGGTGTTTCTGTTTTAAGATGGATACAAAGTTATAAACTGTAGTCCCTGAGCCAGAATGGCCTTCCTCCAGGCGAGTGTATTCTCCTCTGGGGTTTCAGGATGTGCCACAACTTTCCAGAGCAGCCAGAGCCCTCTGACTGTGGCGCTTGGTCTGGCGACAAGGACAGGGAGACTCGGGAACCCACTCTTCTGTCACCGCCCCTACCTGACAGGTAGCTCATGGCTCACCTGGCTGGCTGGACTTCCCAGAGTTGGCTAGGGATGATTCCAGGCTAGGCTGTGACCTCCTCTAACGTGGGAGAAGTGAGCTGTGTGTGAGGAACGCAAGAGTAGATTCACTGTTGTTCTGAGGAAGGGATTTAAACTTGAGGGTTTCGCACATTATTTAGGTTATGACTTAAAATTTTTATTACTAACTTAAAAATTGCCAGAAATCCAATTAAGGGGCTCCAGAGGGACAGCTGTGGAGGGGCAGATGGGGCAAAGATATTGAATCACTCTGGAATATGACTGTGACCGCCCAGGTGGCTTGGTCGGTTAAGCGTCCGGCTTTCGCTCAGGTCATGATCTCGCGGTTCGTGGGTTCGAGCCCCGCGTCGGGCTCTGTGCTGACTGCCAGCTCGGAGCCTGGAGCCTATTTCAGAGTCTGTGACTCCCTCTCTCTCTGACCCTCCCCTGCTCACGCTGTCTCTCTCTCCTAGAAATAAATTAAAAAAAAAAAAAAAAAAAGAATTATGACTGTGACCCCTCCGACAAGGTGAAGATTTCTGCCTGATGTTCTCAGCCAATGCGAACATTAAGCTGTTTAAAGGAGATAAAACCAGACGACAAATGATAAAATCCAGAAATTTTAGAAACTAAAGGCTTAAGGAATAGAGTAAGAGAGAGAAGACAGACTTTACATTTAGAACGATAAGAAGCATAATGTTGGAATACTTAAAAATAGCATTATTATAAAAAGAGAAGAGACAAACATGATTTAAATTGTTGAAGTTAATGAAAGTTAAGAAATTTTGGCAAAACAAAAAGAGAAGTAAACAAATATGAAGAGATTTTGAGAAACAACAGTTTAAAAAATAAACTTGAAAAGCTGAGAGACTAAAAGTAAAAGTGACCTCAGTACATCCAAGTTAAAATGTGAAGAAACCTCAGAAGCAACAAGATACACTGACGATTGAAAATAAAGCTACCTATGGGAAGCCTGGGTGGCTCAGCTGGTTAAGCGTCCAGCTTCAGCTCAGGTCACATTTCTTGGGTTCAAGCCCTGCATCGGGCTCAGTGCTAACAGCTCAGAGCCTAGAGCCTGCTTTCGACTTTGTCTCCCCCTCTCTCTGCCCCTCCCCTGCTCGCTCTCTGTCTCTCTCAAAAAAAAAAAAGTTAAAAAATTTTTTTTCTTTTTGAATTAGTGTTTTTATTTATTTATTTATTTATTTATTTATTTATTTATTTATTTATTTATTTATTTTTGGTAAATACCCAGTAGTGAAATTACTGATTTGTATGGTACTTCTATTTTTAATTTTAATTTTTAATTTTTATTTTTTTAATAGATTATTGTCAAGTTGGTGTCCATATAACACCCAGTGCTCATCCCAACAAGTGCCTTCCCCCATGCCCACTTGCCTCCATTTCTCAAGTTCGAAGGCAGAGGCAATCACAGAGATTCCTTTTCAGCAGTGAAGGGCCCAGAGATGCCAGCAGAGTCCACCTTCTGGACATTTGTTGCACCTTGTAAAGGGAGCTCTTCAGGAGGATTCCTTTAGGACCTTTGACATCAGGAAGCATTGCCTCCTCCCCCATCTTTGATATAGAAATTTCAAACGTCTATAGATATCTAGAATATTCTATAGATATACAGAATTTATATAGATTTTCATAGGCTTGTGTAAAAACATATCAGTAGAGTTTTAAAGAAGATTGCCCTTTGCTGCCCTGTTGTATAGAAACTCGGGGCCCACGTAGAGGTGGAGGTAGAGCCACATTGTACTGAGGCCCCCAGTTCAGAAAGCCTAAGGCATCCCAGTAACGTTTTCAGTTCCTGAGGACTTATTATCTGTCCAGTAGCACAGCTGGACAACTTAGAGAATTATCTAGTTTAGTCCTAGGAACATTAGAAGAAAGGTTGTGTTAAGATTGGAGTTTTACAGGAAAGGCGATTTAGCTAGCTCAGCTAAATAATTAATCTACGGTCCCCCAGCTTGCAAGTGTTAGAGCTGGCTCTGCAGTCCAGGCCCTTGAACTTCAGAGCCCATGCTCTTAACCCTGCTTGGCCTGGCCTCCAGTCTGTCTGCAGGGCTGCCGGGGGCTCAGCATGTGCCCCGCCCCCAGAGAGTAAGACCACTTTCTTTGAAAGCAGCACTTTGTATTGCTTTTTCTCTTTAATCACCCGCTCTTGAGTGGAGGGTAACACGTGCACTTGTCAAAGGCTATTATGACATATCAGCGGGCGGTGACATGTTGACAGGTTTGCTGGACGCCCGCTGCATGTGCTGGCTAACTCCAAGAGGGTGGGGGCATGTTTTTCTTGTGTTCTCCCTGGATCACTTTGAGCGTGGCACCTCACAGGGCCAGCTTTTAATAAATGAGTAGGTGATTTGATTCTGCATTTTCTAATTAAGTTCAAAGGACAAACCAAAGACATTTTTGGTGGCATAAAGATGGTGTCAGTCCCACTTCTAGCTTTTCTGCCTTATTCAACTGTTCCTTGGACGCCACAGGGATGATGTCTCTGTCGGGACCTCTCCATCCCATGGGGTGAGTGGGGGCTGAGTCCTTTATAGGGGTCACGCTCACAGAACAATAGGGCAGGGGACACCCACTGTGGTCTGAGGCCTGGGGTCTCCTGAGTGGCACTGCTGACCAGAAACCTTCCTCCCTCCTGGTCTTCTCACCACGAGAATCTCTTCTTCGGTTAAGATCTTGTTTCTGAGAAACTGCTGATAACAACCAAACATCCAATCAGGAAGGAAACACATTAACTTACTAGAAGCTTCTGACACTTGACACTGGGTGGTTCATGACACAATAGCAGGCCCCCGATTTTGGGGAAAGAAGGTGTGAGTGTGGAGGCGGAGGACAAGTAGAGGAAGGAGAAGCCTTGCCGGTAGAGCAGAGATGAACGTGTCATTGTCTGCCTGCTGTGTGGTTTCTGGGCAGTGCCATCTCCCGAGGACCACAGGCCTCTGTTTTGTTTATCCCCGTATTCCCCAGCATCTGGACCAGGGCCTGACATGGAAAAGGTGCTCCCTAAATTGAGTTCTCCGCTGTAGAATGAATGAAGGAGGAAACAGGTTGGCTGGTCCTTGACCATGTCATCATAGGGAGAGACCATGGGAAGGCATCACCAGGAGAGACTGAGTCAGAAAGGGGAAAACAGCACAGACTGAGTCCATAGCCAATGCAGGGTGTGGTGGAGGAAGGATGTACACATGAAATCAGGCCCTGCCTCACCCTTAGGGAGCTTCCTGGGCATCTGGGGAGATGTGTTACATGGTAAGGGCTATGGTTTAAAAATGTCATCAATAATGGGACAAATAGATATCATATGCTTCCTGATATGATGCACAGAGAAGGACACATCATCACTTCTATGGTATGCTGGCCCAAAATGCATAACCTGAATCTAATCAGGGGAAAACACAAGAAAAGCCCGAATTCAGTTGCCTTAAAAAATGTTAAGGTCAGGCAACATGTGATCCTCAATGGGACTTGGGGCAAAAAAAAAATTAAAAAAGAAACACCCACAAAACTGTTGTTATAAAGGATACTACTGAGATAATTAGCCAAATGTGAATCTGATCTGTGGTGGAGATGTTATATGCTACCGATGTTAATTTCTGATTGTAATTATTGCGGTTGTATAAGGGAATGTCCTTGTTTATAGGAAATGTACAGAGGTATTTAGACATAAAGAGGCCTCATGTCTGCAACTTAATTCTCAAAGGGTTTAGAAAAATGTAAATATGAGAATGTATTGGGGGAGGAGAATGATAAAGCAAATATGCTAAAGTGTTAACATTTGGGGAATCTAGGTGAAAATATTTAGGAAAATTTTTGTACTGTCTTGCAACTTTTCCATAAGTCTGAAATTGTTTCAAGACAGTTTAAAAACGCATGTGGTTGTGTGTCTAGTCCTGTATGTAGGAGAAGCCATAAAGCATAGTGATTAAGGACACAGGCACCGGAGCCCATTTCCTGGGTCCAAACCTGGCTATACTGTTCGTGAGCTGTGATACTTTTCACGTAAGCAACCTGGGCCTGAATAGTACGAGACAGTAGTGGTGCCCACATTGGTGTTTGTGAAAATTTGATGGGCGAGAACCTGTGACAAACCGAGAACAGTGCAAGCACACGGCAAGTGTGCAGTGCACACCAGTTCTTGTACAACGTAGAGCCATCTACAATCACTAATGATCATTTGGCGACAGGGCATGTTGTATATACACATTTGTTGATCTACTGACTATAAGGAACATGACATTTTGGAGTTTACGAATGGTTTTCATATTTAATTATTATAATTATCCCATAAAGCATAATAGCAAGAAAAATTGCCCCATTGTATTGATCTGCAAATGGAGGCCAGGAAAAGGCCAGAGACTTAACCTAAGTCCCCTGCAACTGATAACTGGCATGACTGGGAGCTGTGCCTCTACTGTCCTGACAACTAATCCTGGAGGAGATTCTTTTTTGCAGGTGACACTGATATCACTCTTTGTCACTTTGCCTTCTTTTGTATGCTGAGGCATTTCTGGGGACAGAGTGCCTTCAAGGGCCCTTTTGTTATCCATGTCATTACCTGTTGTCAACTGCTGTCATGTGCATGCTCATGTGTGAGCATGGATTCTCTCAGCAATTGCTGACTGGACCCTTGAACCAGATTCCAAAAAAGAGGTGGCCAGTCGTTAATCCTGAGGCTGAAAAGCCTCCCGTTGGCTGCCTTCTGAGAAGCCTTGGGCTGCAGCATCGGGGGAATCTTCTGAATGTCATGTGCTCTGCCATGTCGCAGGATGTGACTGGGAGTTATAGCCCTCACCTGGGTATTCTGGAGCCTGTAGACTCAAGGAGCCTTAAAGTCCCTTCAAATTCAGTCATTATCTCTCTTCTAAACAAAGAAAGAAGCAAGCCAAAAACTAAAACTAAACGAAAAACTAAAACCAAAAAATCAACAGTTTTCTGAGGAACAGCCCTCATCTGCATTTCAGAGAACCTAGAAACCAGATTCCTGCCTCCATGGGTCTTATGATCTTCAGTGGGGCCTCAGCCAGACAGATGTTATTACTATAAACCAATCTCTGGCAGCCTCGGGTGGAAAGGGAAGCGCCTCTCAATTTGTCAGGGGTAATGATAACTTCCCTGCGTTTGCTCACTATTTATAATTTGCACAGCTTTATATTAGATCTTTCTGTCGATTCTTACAACAAACATTTGGGGTGTAGGAGGAGGGGCTGCACTTCCCCCTGAGCAGATGTAACACCAGGGGCTCACAGGGGCTAAACAAACAACCCACGGGCCAGGATCCCTGGTCTTGATCCAGGATCGCTCACTTACACTGGCTCTCTCATCCTTACCTTCCTGTTTTGGAAGTTATTTTATTTTATTGACATTGCCACTTATTAATTATCTTCATGTTTATTTACCACCACTCATTCATTGCAGCCTGCCTCATCTGGCCATCCTTGCAAGCATTTCTGGGTTATCTCACCAGCTGAGTCTAGAGGTACCTCAGGGGATGCGGAACCCTTTGACTAGTTGCTTGAAAAGAAGAGAAAGCGTGAGAGTAACCGTGCAGTCAATATGGTCCTGAAACTCATTATAGAGCCTAGTAGAAGTAGTGCAGAATGTCAGCTTTGGTTTGGAGTTTCTGTACATGAGTCTTCTCCATATGCGTATCTAATTAAGAGCTGGGAATGTGTTCATCCGTTCAGTTACAGTGAGCATCAATAATGGCCCAGGTGCTAAGGTTTCCCTTCCTACCTCTTCATCAAGGTGAGGCTGCACATTTTAAGCTAATCAGTCTTAGGATGGAAGTTAAAGACCCAGGTTCTAGGCCTTTCTTCACCATGACCTTTTAAGATCTGTGAATTGCAGTAGGGCTCATCTGTTGTTTGCACTTCCTACTGTATTACAATAAGAAAATAAAATGTATTCAAAAGCCTTTTGTGGATTGCACAATGTTTCTTGAACCTAAGATGGTTTTATGATTATGATAATTCCAAAGATAAAAGCTGCTTCTGTTATGTGTCCTAAATCCTCATGCATGAGAAGAGCGAGTTCAGTCAGTAGATTAGTAACCAGCCTACGTAGAAGTATGTGAATGAATGAACTGAAAGGGGTTGTAAATTACATTTATACAGTGTTTGTATTGAATCATGAAGTTTATTCCCATAAACATTTCATTAGCAACGACTAAAATCACATGTCTTTATTACAGCTAACATACAGAAAGCCTTCTACTCCTGTTTATCTTTTAAGACCCGGCTCAGTGGGTTACCTCCTCCAGGATGTCTTCTTGGACTCACTGATCATCCTCAATCAGGTGGGATAAAATGACCCTGCTCCGCTGCTATGATACAGGGGCCCATTTCTACTGCACGTTACCGTGTTGTGATTACCTGTGCTCTCACCCTCTAGATTCTGTCTTTCATCTTTGCATGCTGACTGTCCAGTGCCATTCCTGGCATGTTATTTTTGCCTTCGGAAATGTTCTCTGAATGAATGACCAAACATTTACCAGTTCAAACAAGGCTTGGCTTGTAAATACAATGGGATTGAGGTCAGGGAGATGTGCTTCACTTTTTGCCATAAAGTGCTTACATATTGCACACGAGAACACGGTGCCTCATGATTTTTTAACCTCTTATGTGATTATCCCGGCAAAAACCCCTTGGGCTAGAAAGGACTATAATGGCCTTGGTAGTTTGAGCAGCTTAATATTTTCTTTACATCAAGCTTAGCCTGTTTTCATTATAAAAGAATTGACTGAGTTCATGTAAGGCAGGAAGAACAGAAGATGTCCTCTTCCCCTGAAAGTCTTCAAAATGCCTGCCTGGCCTTGAGAGATTCCCACCAGTGCACGCAACATGAGGAGTCAGTATGATATGGACATATTTGTACATTTTAAAAAAGATTAAATGTGATATAGTACTGGAACTGAGCATGGGAGATTGAGGCCCTAGGTATTACGCTTTCCCTTGCTACAGGGGATGGAAAGAATATTGTTTCTCCTTAAAATGATTTATTTAAATGGGTAGGCTAGAATTCTACTTAAAACCCAGTGTCTGAATGCACCTGTTTAAGTCAGCTTCTTGTTCTCCCAGGTATTTAGGCATTGAATTTTCCCCATTAGGGAAGTGATTGACACCGTGGTCCTTACAATAACACATGATTATAACTCTGCAAATGGCAATTACATTCAATGGAAACCAGATGTTGCATGGAATTTGACTCTCTTGGTTTCTTGGTGAAGTAGATGAATTTGTAAAGTAGAAAACCACAATCATTACTCAGATGGACTATACATGAATTAATGACATAATATCTAAATCATATATGGTTGAAAATAATGATTAACTTAAACTATCAAGATAAGCTAATGAAAAACAGACTCAAAAAATTAAAGATATGTTTTCTTCAATATATATTTTATCAGCATGCTAATAACAAAACCAGACTTGTTTGCATGTGTCTTCAGCCCCACGTAAGAAGAAAATATTTAAAAAGAAGAGCTTCTTGGTAGTTAACGTTGAGGAGAAAGTGAGCAATTATGATGGTTTTTCTTGGCTGGTGACTTTTTAGAGTGTCTGAAATCAATCTTTAAAAAATATATTGTTGTTAAGGAGAGCTAGCAATGTTTTATGCTGAATTACACAGAGACAGTATATTTTTAAGGACACATTTGGCATGCAAAGCATTTGCTTTATATGCCTGTGCAAAGCATAACCTCTCAAATAAAACTTCTTTTCCTGTCCCATCTCTCTCCAGTGCCTGTGTGCAGATGTGTGCACACATGCATGCACACACATGTGTACACACACACACACACACACACACACACACACACATCAGTGATGCCTCAGGCCAGGAAGGCAAATCAGCATCACTTTTAAACCTGCACTGTCCCTTGAAAAGCTCAACCTTCGGTTAGCAACCTCCTAAGTGGTTAAGTTTGCAAACCTTGGCCCATCATTTCCACTGTCATGAATTCTCAATGACATCATCACTGTAAAATTAGGAACTCTCTTTCTTGTCCTGCAGATGTGAAAGTTTGACATTGCATTCCATGGTCCCGTGCCACATTTCATCAGCGTTTTCCCTTTGCTTTCTCCAAAGCCTGTGGCCGCATGTGGCGTGTAGATTGCCAGTGCTGTTTGGGATCTCATATCAAATGCTGCTACCTAATCCCAGGCGGCCTTCCACAAGCCCACACCTGCAGCTCATTGAATCCTCCTGGAGTACAAAGGGCTGATTTACAGCACGAAGGATCCAGGCACTGCTTGCAGCTGGGGCTCCGGCAGGAAAAGGAAGTTGTTCATCATCTTGTGTGCATTTCATTAACAATAGTGTACCCGATATGTAGCTTATAGAATAATTTCAAATCACTGACAGAGAGCATTATGGCATTTGGCACTACTAGGAAAAATACTTCGGGATGGGCAAATTACACCTGAGCGTGAGGTTTCTATGCGACCCTCTGGAACCGTGCACACTGATTTATACCAGGTGGGTTGACCTTGCGATATTTTCTGATTCGTTGGGCATTTTCCCATTTCTCATTTCTTTTCCTTTGTCTTTGAAGCAGCCCCGGAGTAGAGTTGGGATATTCTTAGTTTTCTGTTCTTTTCACGTACCAGCGACTGAGAGCTAAGGATAACCCGTGCTCAGCGTGGTGTTTCGAAGCCAACCACCTGAGGAAATGTCTGTATTGCTGGGAGTGCCACAGTAACATGTGGCAGCATGTCTCTTTCTCCTTTGAGTTCCGACAGCCACAGAAACGAGGGAGTCCCAGTGAGGCACTGAGACCCCAGTGCTGGCTCACCAGGAAAGAAATGGAAGATGCTCATACCTTCTTCTGCCTTGTTGGGCTGTACTTCCATTTTACTATTGGCTCACTATCACCCCAAAAAAGCCTTCCTGGTGGAGATGCCATGAAGGTGATGAGGAGGAGTTCAAATGAGGAGACAAGTAACAAGCAGAAGAAGACTGCCGTCCTGTACTACGGTTCCCACGGCCCTCTGGATGCCTGCTGGGCCTGTCTTCGCTGGGGCCAGCGTGGCCTCCAGGTCGGACATCTCACCTATTTACTGAGAAGGCTCTGCCTTTCCAGATCTTTCCTGGGAGTATCTTGCAAGTCCCAGTTGATGAATTTTTTTTTTTTTTTTTTGAAGAAGTGGAAAGCCTTAGAATCTCAAAACAAAAAGGCCTCAGGAACTCTGTCTCTGGGTTTGGGGCCAAGCCCCACATAGTAAGGACAGCAGCAATGTGCAGAAATGTCAGGGCTTCTGATTAGTTTATCATGGACATTTAACTTCGGCTTTTTTATAAAGAAGGACAAAATCAATAAAAATCGCCATCCTCAAGGGAAAGGGAGCAGGGGAGGAAAAGCAAATTTCTTTTCACTTTGTAATGGTAAACAAACTCGGCTCAGAGCAGTATCTGATGTGGCTGCATGGAGCCTGGTTTCCAGTTTCTCTTGATGTGTCAAATGTATCCCTTATGTGAATCATGGTTTAAAAATACTTTTACTCAGTGGGTTCGGGAAATCAGTAAGCTTTTATGATTCTTTCCTTCACATAATTTCTCATTTCAAAAGAGATGCTGGGTATTCCTTTAAGATGTTTATATATTATGCATTTTAAAAACTAACAATTCTTCCAAGGGCTTCCCAAGCATTGTTGCTGGAGTGGTGGGTTTTTTTCTTCCCAAGCTCACTTACTCTTTCTTTCGTTCTTTCTCTCTCTCTTTCTTTCTTTCAACATTAAGCTAATGATTATGGGGCTTACACATAAATTGAAGCCGGATTTATAAAATGCAATATAAAAATCCTCGGGAAGGAAGATAAATATAACAAGCTATGAAACTGCGTTAGCCTCTTCCAGTGTTGGAATGACTACAAACGAGGAAATTAATGACCAGGATGTGTGATGTTGCCCAGGTTAGGAGCTTTGGCCCCCAGGCAGCCTGCCTTAAGATGAGCTGTCCTGCATTCCTTGATTTCTCTGAAATACAAATCTAATTGCAGATTGGAACATATCCATTCACTTAGTCTGTAAAAATAATTTTCCCTGAATATTTACCCAAAGCGCATTATTGCTTATACAGTTGTGAAAAGCATTTAGCACTTTATAATCCCATATTTGCTCCTATGTGGGCCTGGGAGTGTACTCTCCTTACAGAATTCACAAATGCCTAGAAGGCTAACAATTTTTACAAAGTGTTCCTCATGGAAAACATCTGGAAGGTTTCCAGAATGGCATTCCAGATGTTATAGTTTTAGCAGTCACAAAAGTGCACTGCACATGCTGTGTGTGCGTGTGTGTGTTTTTCCTGGTTCTACATCCTATGTTACTTACACTTACCCGGGCCTCTTTGCTCTACCTCTGGAACATTTTAGGTTTGAATTATTTAATATTTCACTTCTGGACAACTCTGCTTTCAGGGCAATTACACATCTGTAAGGAGGGGAGCCTGATGTAGACTACTGTAACCAAATACGCACTGGGAGAAGGGATTTTTAATTGGTATTTTAAAATTGATTTTTTTTTTTTTTCTCTGTGGGGTCAGAAAGAAGAATAAACACTTGGGGGAGTAAGGTCTGGATGAGTCTCCCATGCCGGGAGAGAGCTGCCCTCCATCCCTTTCCCAGCTTATACTGTGCACAGAGGAGAATGCCCCTGTTTCCCGCCCTCCCCAGCTGCAGGGTGCTGGGTGGAGAGTGAGGGGCAGAAGTGAGTGTCCAGGACACAGGATGCTCTCCTTTCAAACTGCTAAATGCTGCTCAGCTGGGGGGAGCTGTAGGCAAGCATGAGATCCATGTACTGCTCTTGTCCTTTCTCTTCTCTCTGTTCTTCCCGCCTGCCTTCTAGATATGGGCCCTTTCTGTAGCAGTCAGCCCCAGGGAAATTGATGGCCCATAGAAATTCAGCCAAGAGACTGGCCTGTTCTTAGAACCAGCTTCTTGTGAGTCCTGCCTGACGGAAGGTCTCCTTCTCAAAACCAGGGTAAAGATGACAACAGGGAAGAGGGGGAGAAGGAAAGATTCGGTCATGGGCCAGAATAGAAGTAAGCCATGATTCAGGCAGCCATCGTGTTTTACGTCTGTGAATTACTTTGAATACGTGGGGAGACAGATGAACGGGGATCCACCTCCTTAACAAACCAACCAGACATGATGAGAACCTCCTCTGAACTAAAATTTTTGTCATACATTACACTGAGCCAATCTTGTTTCATATTACAAGTTCCTTGGGAGAGTAAAGAGAGCATACTGGCAAGAAAAAGGCGAAGCCAAGGATGGGTAGTGGGGACAATGGCGTGAGTGTGATTAAGGTTGGGTCTGTACTGGCTGAAGCCACAGAGAGGTGGGGACCAGTGGGAGGTAGGGTACATAAGACACGTATGAGGGACATACAGCGGAAATGCCCCTGCCACCCCAAGCCTGTGGTGACATACATATGGCAGGGAGTCATCAGGAGGCTGGTATGAAAATGGCAAAGGCCATCTTGTTCCCCTGTCTTTACTGCTGGGAAGGGTGTTAGCTCTAGGTATTTGCCCCAGGAAATTCCTCAGGGATTCCTGCTTAGCCTTGGCAAAGTCCAGAATCAAGACACCTTCAGATGAAGAGGACCTATTGCTCCAGAAGGATCTGGGCTCCCCCTGCGTGGAGTCCAGATGATGTGTGGGACCTGACCTCCCATCACCCCTTGGACTCTGGTTTCCATAGTTACCATTGGCTCAGAAAGATGCTGATCCTCCTGTACTGTCCTCGTTGCTGTGTCCTGGGCAGACCAGAACAGTTGGTTATCCTAGTTGAAGCATGTCCCTGACTTTATGTCCATGTACATTGGAAAGGTGGTGGGGACTGTCCCCGCCCCCCCAGGGCTACTGCAGCTGGAGAGCCTGTTTAGAGCTGGCTTCTGGGTGGCATCTGGAAGACTTGCCACACTGCAGTCAGATCAGACTTTGAGTCTTACTTTTGAGGGGGTGGGTGTGTGCTCCTCCTGAGGGTCCCCAGGAAGCATGGACATCTTAACCTGAAAGCCCAATCCTTCTGTCTGCCTCTGTAGCCTCTCTGCCTGCCTCTGCCCAGGGGGTGCCCAGGTAGAGACCTGCCTTAGGAAGAAGCCAAGAGGGTGCTGTGACACAATGGGAGGAACACAGCACCAAGGCTGAGATGGAGTCTCGCTCTGGAGCCCTTTCACCTGTGGGAGGTATTTAATGTCTCCATTTCTTCATCTGTAAAATAGCGATAGTAATTCTTGCCTCTTAGAGTTATTTTTATAAAAGCTTAGTGCTGTATTTGACATATATTGTTAAAAAACTTTTTTTGTTTCTTCTCTGCCTCAGGGACATTCAGAGTGATCATCCAAAGTGAAATAAATGTCATTGTCACTATAATGGAAGAAGTGGTCTATGATGGTGACCCTTGAAGCATTTCCCATTGTTGTTCCTTTATTTTCCCTGGGTCTCTGCCCCTCTGCTCTCCTGGGTCACTTTCTACTTTTCTGACTCACCAGTCTCCTCCCAGGGCTGTGTCCCTTGTAGCCCTCTTTTTAAACTTGTATTTTTTTAAAGTTTTAATTTATTTCATAGAGACCAAGAGAGAGCACAAGCAAGGGGGGAGGGGCAGTGAGAGAGAGGGAGATACAGAATCCCAAGCAGGCTCCACATCGCCACCATGGAGCCTGATGTGGGGCTTGAACTCACAAATCATGAAATCATGACATGAGCTGAAATCAAGAGTTGTGCTGTCCATGATTCTAAACTCCATTTCCAGAGTCAATCTCCTCTCTGGTGGCATCAACAGGGCTACCAAGGCTCCACACCCAGTGTCTCACTCCATTTCTACTCATCATTGCTGCCTGCACCACATATTTTTATATTAAAAAATAATTTAAAAAATATTTAATCTTTAGAATCTTTGTCTTTTCTGTGTTTCTGTCTTTCTCTGTCTCTGTCCCTGTCTGTCTGTCTGTCTGTCTCTCTCTCTCTCACACACACACGTACACACACACCAAACTTCAATTAATCAATAGTCAACTGAAATTACTTTGTATATATTTTTCAAAACCAAATCCATTCTCACAGCCTCTCTCTTGATCTGTTTAAGTAAAATCCTGTAACAGATTTTTCTTACCTCTAATTCTGCACCTCTCCAATTTACCCATACCCCTCAGTGAGATCAGTAGTATCTTTTTAAAACTCACATTGTGCTGTGATACTCCATAACTTAAGAGCCTTCAGTATACCCCCATCACTTTCAAGTGAAGCCAAAATTGCTTAGCCTAGCACTTAAGATCCTTAGCATTTGGGTCATAATCTCTCCAACATCATGTCCCTCATTCCACTTCTGTCTCCTTTTCCTCTTTTGGTGCTTTATAGTGACATTGTGTGCCTCTGGTACTTTGCATATGTTGTGCCTCCAGCTTTCACTGACTCTCTGTCACCTGTCCTCTAACATCCAGCTTGACTTTACCTCCTTTGCTTAGACAAAATGAAAGCTATGGCATTGTGTGCTTTTGTGTGTTGTAGCACATGACACCCTGTGATGTTGGTTCTCATCTGTCACTCCAGTATTCACTGCCTTGTTTGGACTGTCTTAGAGCAAGGGATAGCCAGTTGAACAAATGAACAGCACCCCAGTGATAGATGGCTGAACTGTCATGGACACTATGGTCACAAAGACCAAGTGCCATGAACTGTGTCATTCCAAGGGATTTCAGGAACTGATCACAGGAAAACTGGAGTGGAAACTCAACTCTTCAGTGAAGAGCTTGGGGTCAGACTCAGGTGCTGCCTGTAAAGAAGTTCTGGAGGATCATAACTTCTCCCTACCCTCTTGAATGAGCTCTATAGTGAACTTTCTGTGTACAAAATCCTGCCTTCTTGATAACTCAGAAGCTCTTTTCATTATAGGTGGTTAGTAGGCAGTAAATAATGAACTGGGAAAGTTGAATTGTGTATAAACATGTTGATGTCACCTTGATATTGATATTGATATGACCTTGAAGCAAGGTTTAGGAAACTGTGACTACAGGTCTTTTGCATCTATCTTGGCAGTTTTAAGAATTTTAATGACAAAATCCAATTCTATTCCTATACTTTCTGTCCTGAATTAATAGATTTGGAGTGCTAATGTGACAGACAGACAAATCTGTGATGTAGAGATGAAGGTAGGGCTAATACACAAACAGTGTCAGAGGCCAAACCAGTAGATTGACATTATCCCTTTAGGTGATGGGTGATGGGGATGAGGGTATGACAAACTTCAATGGGGCTCTTTACTTTGACTCTGGTTCACCTGGTCATTCCAGGAACCCTGCACTGTGTACTGAACACCTGGAGTGTTTACGTGGAGTTCAGTGACGCCAGTACCAACTGGCGACCAATGGAAAGCTCAACTCCTCCAATGTGTCAACACCCAAGGGCACTTGACCAAAATGTAAATGCTGAAATTGACTGGGGGTGCTATTCTGCCACGCCTGGAATGTAGCCCAGACCTTACAATATCAGACTGTAGTTCACTCTAAGACCTTATCTATATATTGATGGCAGTTTGAGACACTTGATAAAATCAATGTATCCAATAGTAAATTATCGACTTCTAAATTTAAGGATGAGCATGCATTTCCAAATTATACTGCTTGCAGAAAAAATAGGTCACAGTCATCAAAGACGGAACCTATAAATTGATGGGAAACAGCTTTGAGATACTTTGGTAGACCACTTTAATTTATTCTATTCTCTGGGAATAGATATATAAACATAGATACATATGTAGATCAAGATATAAAAGCTTATATATATATTATATATAATGTAAAAATATAATTATGTATATAATATATGTCAGTATTCCATGGGTAACTTTTTAAAGCTGAGATACTAATTCCCCAATTTGGGTCAGTTGGGTCACCTTAGAATATTTTCTTCTTTTTTTCTTTTTCAAGATGTTGGTGTTTTGTGTGGCTTGTATTTGGACCAATTCTCTATTATTTTACACTCTTCTCAAATTGTCAATTCTCATAGCTCATGTATACGCACGCACACACATACACACACACACATATATATAATACACACAAACCCCAACACCTTCTAAGTGTAGGGCATGGAGCTAGGGGTGTACTATGAAAGTGGTAACCCCTACAGGCTTACCTTCAGTACAGGAAATGCAAGGCACACCTCTGGCTCAGCTGGAATGTTTGTGCTCTTTGAGATCTAGGCTTGACATGCCTCCTGACTCCCATTTTGGGAATTCTAGCTTATGAAAGTACAAATACCTCTCCAACTTTTCTGTCAAGTCTTAGGGCCTTGTTGTTGTTGTTGTTGTTGTTGTTGCTGTTTTAACTCATAGTTTTTTCTCCTTCTAGAAATCTGCTTCCTTGTATGAAAACTTTGTCCTACATTTTTTGATAAGCCATTAAAGTGATTCATATACTGGTGTCTGTGGACCATACCTTTGCAAACACTGACATAAGGTGATGGAATTTGCCCTGTGTCTTGCTCCCAAATGTGCATATCCAGAGATGTTCAGTGGAGCTGAAGAGAGCACTGTTAAATACAACTTTCCTTCTATCGACCTCAGCTGTCATTAGTGACCTCCTCTCTCCCTTGCATTTTGTTATATTTATGAGACAAAGGAGTGTGTAAATAATACCAAAGGAGGTTTTTTGTTGTTGTTGTTTTTTCTAGGAGAGAGAGAGAGACAGCATGAGCAGGGGAGCGTCAGAGAGAGAGGGAGATACAGACTCTGAAATAGGCTCCAGGCTCTGAGCTGGCCATCAGCACAGAGCCCGACGCGGGGCTCGAGCCCACGAACCGCGAGATCACGACCTAAGCGAAAGTCAGACGCTTAACCGACTAAGCCACCCAGGCGCCCCCAAAGGAGTTTTAACAGGCAAGTCATCATCATAGGAGTTCAGAGGATGGAGAAACTGTATGTTCCCAGAGCACATGAAAAGAATCTGAGACAGCTTCCTGAGAGGTGGTGAAACCGAACTCTGAGGAGCACACAGGATCCATCTAGAAGGAGGGGAAAGGTCTGGGCAGCTCTAGGGTGCACAGTATGAGCAAGAGCTCAGGAGGGGCACACAGGGGCAGCAAGAACAGGTTGTGGTTGAGGGCCCAGAGGACACGAGCCCGGCCGGAGAGGAGAGCTCTGGGTACCAGGCTATCAGCAGAGCTTGGAGGGGAAACATCATCACTGGTAAATTCATAAAACATATTTTCTTTTTGAATGAGTGCCTCCCGCATCTATGGACACAATAGGAATGCATATAATGACTCCTCAGGGAGGGTGCTTTCCTGCTTAGTTGATCCACAGCGCCTGCTGTTCTGCTAGGAAATCAGTAATACCTATTGACTGACATGTTTTGTCCGGTTCCCCCAGGTCTTCTTTAAAGGCTTCTGAAAAGACCGCCTTTCTTCTCTTTCTGACCTCAGTGCTCCCTCACCTCCACCTTCCCGGCTCCCAGTCCTTCGGAGGCAGTGATTTCCCGTCTTGTCTTCCTCTGGTTTTGTTGCTTGTGAGCTTTGATTAGGGGTAAGCCACAGAGCAGCCCCCTCGGGCCGCTGTCTTTCCTTCCACTCTTCCCTGAGCTGGGGCATCTGGTTCTCATTCTCTTCTCCATGCAGCGGCCTGCACGTTCACCTTGCTCTGTTTACGTATTTGTTGCACAGCCTGGTTGAAACTCAGCGCTCCTAACCGGTCTTGCCCCGCATGATCTGAAGAGAGCTGAACAGGTTCAGAAGAACCTGAGTATGAATTAAACCATGCCTGGAGCCGTTGAGAGGCAAGCCTCAAGCCCTTTGCAGGAGTCGGGCCTAACCTCGGTCTGTGGATGATCTTTGTGGAGTCTGCTGACTTCTGAAAAGGGATTCAAATTTGGGTATGGGCAGGTCCATTCTTTTGAGAACAGAATCTGAAGCCTTTAAGAGATTCTCAAACAGACCCGGGACCTCAGTGTTCTACCATCACAGCTCTTTCTGTGTGGTCGTCTGTAGCAATCCTGTTGTTACTAGGATGGAACCAGAGCTTTAGAGAGGTCAGTAGTTGCCAGAATCACTAAGTAGTGTGCGCAGGAGGCACACCAAGGCAGTCTGAACGCTGGCTGGGAACCACCATGCCGCCCCACCCCCCCAGTGTGGAGATGGGTCTTACACTTCCTAGAGCCACTTGTCTCTTAGACTGC